AAAAAAAAATAGAAGCAATTAATCACAATGTAACAACAATCCATTTGCATAGGCGCTTGACCGGATTACCAGTAATTCAAAGAATTATTGGGCAGTGTCGGATGAAAACGCCATTACGAACATCGTACCGATAACATGTTGAGCGTGGATTCTAGTCGCTGCCCACTCACTGAAAATAAGCACGTGTTTCATAGCAACAATTTGGAAAATTGAGTCAAAATTACCCACTCGGAGGAAAGCTGATAATTTGAGCAAAACGGAATAATTCAAAGGAATGACAAATAATAATAATAAACATGGATATTTTGAGAGCCCCATGAATGGGGCCTTCTTCTGTCTGGATTTGAAAGAAGGAAGAGAGCCGCCGTCATCACGGAAGGGTACTTTTCAAAACCTGTTCGCCAAAGGCATTAGGGACACATCAGAAGAAGACTTCTTCACCATCCAGAGTCCCGCTCCTCTGCAGCACCGCTTCTCTCATTGTGGATAAAAATTTCCCCGCTCCGCTCTTGTTACTTTGCTGCTGCAGCGGGTCCTCCACTCTCTCTCTCTCCCGGTTCCGAGTGCTGTACCACATCGCTCCTCCAGTTATTTTTGGATAAAAAAAATGTTGGTGCGCGAAGAAGTTGCTGCGCGGAAGAGAGCGCCGAAGGAGCACTGGCCATCGTCGTCGACGTCGTCTGTCCCGGCTCGTCGTCTCCTTGCACATGCATAAACAAATACAAATCGTTTTCTTTTCAGCAACGGAGCAAAAAAATTAGAAATTATTGCTGCTGCACCGCCCACCACTATCCCGGTACACCTCGTCCTCTCCCACTAAATTGCTTAATTTTTATTATTGCTCGGTCTTCTTCTGAACGAGCTGACGAGCGCGCACACCCAGACACACACACACAGACACTTCCATCCATCCATCGGAATAATTCAATTAACCAACCTTTTTTTTCTGGTTTTTACAAGTTGGCGCGTTCTCTTCGCTCAACTCCGCTCGGTTCAGGTCACTCCTCATCATCAGCTGTTGTCGCTCCAGCTGTCATCATATCCTGGGGTGCTTCTCAATTCCCCCCGCGCTTCGCACACTATACCACATTATTATTATACTGAATTGCTGTGAAACGATAAATTCTTTTCACTTCCCAACTTTGTTCATTCCGGGAAGTACTGGTGTTGTTGCTTGTGGACGATGATCTTCTTCAATACGCTGAGCGTCAACACGCACTTCCTGCTCCTTCATGCATTCCTCTTCATTTTATTCGTCGCTTTCGGCGTACGAGCACAGAGTAAGTCCTCTTATTCACTTATAATAAAAGCTCGCATATTTTCATCAACTGCAACGGATAAGGTGAAAAAACAGAAAAGACTGCGAATAATAATCATCATAATTATCATACAGTGGTTGTTATTCTCAGTATTCTTACTTATTACTAATGTTGCTATATTACTGTCTCATATTATTACTATTATTGTTATGTTGCTATATTACTGTCTTATATTATTACTATTATTGTTACTATTACAACTTTGTTTATTATTATTAACATTATTATTATTGCCTATTATTATTATTGTTATTATTATCACTATTGTACCTTTATTCATATTTTTATA